TAGTTACACAAATAACTCGTCGGAAGTATGCCGACTAACGTTCAAGTGGTCCTTCCAATTTATAAAAAGTAATTCATATTAAAAACACTGGCAGCCTGATTTATGGAATTTTGCCCGAAACATTCCGTCGAAAAACACCTGATTCTAAGGCGGCCCTTTTATGGCAAAACAGCTAAACTGAAAAAAATGGGATTTAAAGAAAAGTGAGTTGTATAGATTTGAGAGTTCGCCGTTTTCTGATATGAAACTTGGTTTGAGACTGAATGAGTGCACGAATTATTGCATGGAGTTTTTGTTATACATTTTCCAAATTGGAGCACACGTGGATTAAAGATTGTTCATTTTGTGAATTGTAATTCTTAGCCACAAAATGTAACAAACACGTTACTTTGTTGTTAAACAAAACAGGGCTTAGAAAATTTTTAGACAAAAAGTCGGTTCTTAAAAATTGTACTGGGCGTATAAAAAAAAGGCCGGCCGGTCACTTGGCCCACCAAATTTGGGTCTGGATCCGCCTGTGGTCTCACGCCCCATCCTAGGACCGACCCCTCTCAGTTTAATTTCTAGAATTACATTGGTGATGCAAATGAGCCTAAAATATAGTCTGGTTCCCTGTCCCCGTTGTCTTTCGGACTTAAAATATGGGGACAGATAGTTACCTAGCGGTAGTAATCTTGAATACATCTGGAGGCATTCCTCCTGATGCATGCAATTGTCGCATGACGTGCACTGGTCAATTGAAAATCACAACGGTAATGTTTGCCCACAACCAGCCTATTGCAAAATGGCAATAGGCCGCGCCACGAATGTACAATATTTCGGAGGTGATGAGCTTCGATTTTTGCTAAATTCGAAAGTGTCTCTTAATATCAAAAAATAGAAGGACATTACTGAAATGCTTGAAAGTTACCTTCTCAGAGACACTGATGATTTTGCGTACTGTTTGTGGAAAGACAAGACTAGAGTGATTTTTTTTTTGATAATCGTGTGTTCAATCACCGTACATACACGGAGCTGCTAAACAGCGATTTGAAAATAAACAATCATGGTGCGCGCGCAGAGGTGATCCAATCAATGACTTTAAATAGGAGCTAGCTACAGGTCCCATATTTTAGGGGGGGGGGGGAACAGTCCACCTAAAATGTTGGTCGAATTTTCACATTCTGTCAGTGACAAAATAAACAAGACATGTTTGAAGTATTTCGTTTCTGTGTAACGGAAGCTCAAGGGACATGACAACTTCAAAGAATTATCTCGCCTCTTCCACTGATAACTGACGCGGCGAGGTATAGCTCCTCGTTGCGGCGATTTAATGGAGGCTTTCAGATCTAGGTCGACTATCGGCAAGCTACAATCCTGGCCAAATCTCGCTGGGCCCCCAAGCCCCCGGCCCCCGTTCAATGTTGTCTCTCATTGCGCGGCGTGTGCTCCATCAGCTGGAGAGAACAACATTGACCGGGGGAGCGGGGGAGTGGGTGACAGTGGCAGGCTCAGGAAGGGTCCCAACCATTTTGGCGGGGATTGTAGTCTGGTTTCCTGACCTGGGAATTACCCGACGCTCTGACCATGGAGCTATTGGTCATGCCATGGATCCTACACAAGGATTAAAGGGACACTGCGTCCTTGAACAGCCTAACTGGGCTACAAAAACGCGCTTTAAACAAAATGATGTTGATCAGAAAGAATATTTAAAAGTAGGATATTAACATCCACAGAACTAGCCTTTGGCTTTTAAAAACTGGGTGTTTTTTTGTGTTTTTCCTGTGTTATGCGTGCGAGAATGTCTTGGGCCCCCAAAAGTCGAGCTGTTTGGATGCTAGTTGTAATTTCATCCGTAAAGTGTTCGCCTTTTGCGAACGTGTAAGAAACCATATTGTGTGCATTGGTGATTGGTCACCGCTGCTCGCGAGCACGGTGCTGTGTATATCGTACATTGACTGAGGAAAAGCGTGTTCGTACTAAGTCGTTTGCGATGTAAACAACGGGATATTTTTTCGTCTTTTCTCGGGAACGGTATTAAGACATTGTGTTGGTTTTCTTTCACCCAGATGTTTGATATTGGGTTAGTAAACAATCCAAAAGATGAATTTTTTTTTTTTTGGGGGGGAGGGGGGATTTTAGGACCTAGTACCCCTTTAAAGCCAAACTCCTTGTAATAGGCGCGTGATAACGGCCTGTACAGGTGGCAATTACTATGACTACTTGTCAACAAAGACCCAGACGGCAATTACCATGAATGCTTGTCACAAAGACCCAGACAGCTTAACCGCTTCACTGCTCGCGGCGTTTTTTCAAATTTGCAGGCCGGCTCTGCGCTCGATCTGGTGTCAAATTCTGTCAAGCCAGCTGATTATATTATTCATGATGCTACTGAATATTCATGATGCTACGTTTTTGGCCTTTCTTTTTGGCCTTATTGAATTCTGATAATGACACCTACATATCCATGTTAACGCCGAGCACAATATCTTTAACTTTAAAATGAATCATGAAATGTCGCATTTGTTTTATCGGTTCGGGACCACATCTCTCTGAAACTTTTGAATGCAAGCCTTATAAAAAACGAGATTTGGGTAAACGGTGTTCTCATCTAAAAAGGTGTAACATTGGACGTTTATTTCCCGGGTAAATACTTCATCTATGACGACAAAAACTGCACAATACCGTCTGTTTTATCCTGGGGTATTTATTTTGAACACAATTTTGGAACAAGTATAACTATTATCTTACATAAGGAGTGGTTTTGCTTAAAATTTTATGAATATTTCCGTTTTAGATGGCATGCAAAAAAAAAACCCCCAAAAACGACAACCTGGAAAATTTGCGATTAACATGCCAACGGGTATTAAGACCCGTTTACGCGTCCAACCAATAAGACAAGTCCTTTTAGTGCATTTTGTACTACAGCTCAGAACAGTTGCTCATCCTTGTGTGAAGTGCAAGCAATGAATATTAAATATCAACACCTTTTTAATTTTTTAATAAGCATGGCAGGTACTAAAAACCTATTTTATATACCCGGAAATACCCGGGCGCTATCCGAGAGTGTCGACGAAATGCATTCGGCAAACTTCGGGCAATTTCGGAAATGGTCACTACCAGACCAAATAGTCAGTATCTATTGGTCTGAGTACCAAACAATAGGCAAGCCAATTAGCAATAGTTGCCAATGAAATCGGAGTACCTGTACATGTATTTATATTTGCTGAAGAAACGATTAACTAATAAATACATTCTCATTTTGTATAGCAACATTTTTACAAACATCAAAGTTATCCACCTCACGTCAAGCTACTATAAAAAACACACACACACGATAGGGTTAAACAGGTGGAAATGTATTCAAGTTGTCTGTTCAATCTGCAAACAAGTGTATATACATTATTCCATTATAACGCCAGATTGCAGCACATGTGCAGCGCTTTCTCGCGACGATCGGTTCGTCGCGACCCTATACAATTCACCTCTTGGTGAACTAAGTGAAATGCTTTCTTTGAAGGGAAACATCACGTGACTTACATCCACACACGATTCGGGACTGTATTTTCCCATAGAGGCTCATTGCACTTTTTCCCGGGGATAATGAACTAGCTGAGTTCAATGACCGCATGTTGTGAGTGAATTATAAGGTGCTAGAAAACGAGACAAGCGACTTGGTGCATGTAAAACAAGTACAAATGTACATACATGTATTTCTGAAATTCCACTCAACTACAGATGGCTGAGTATTAAAGATAATACGAATAAAGTGTTGTTTTAAGTCTCAGAATAGCAAATCTACTAGCGAATGTGCTTTGCTCCTATAACATTCACAAAACTCAAATCAGTATTCGGGAATTTCCAGACAGCATTTCCCAATAGACCTAGGACTAAAATAAAGGAATGATCGAAGTAAACATGAGTGTGCTGACTGAACAATTCATTGATATTCTACAGGAACTTAACATTCAAACCTCTCGGATCTAGCTTGATTTAATCAAACCAATGATTTTGGGTAAAAATGTAAAATCTAAGTTGAGTCGATGGTGATGAAATAGGGGTGTTTTAATGTTTTAACAACATTTTCTACTTTTCTATTAAGTGGAATCAGTTGATTTAAATGATTGAAATAACCCTCAATCAATTTGTTTTGCCCAAAATATAGAATTGTTTTTGGTACCAAAAAAGTGGTTTTACTGAAAAGTGATTTAAATCAAGGTGATTTCAGTCAGTCAACCCTAACACATATGTTCTATAACTGCCAACATGTGTATGTCCTGACTTACGGAGCTTAATCAAGATAAATCACACACTGAACAAAATATCTATTAATGCGGAAAGCTCCACTATCTTAAACTCGACGGAATCATTTCAAAATGTATATACATGTATGCTGCAAACATTTTCATAGGCGAAATCACTACATTCATCCAAATCTACGCACAAAAGTATCGTTAACATAAGTTTATAATTATTTACATTGAACAATAAATAGATCTCACTGTCTACGGAATTCCGTAGCTAAAAAGTCAGTTCCATCTTAGATAAAAGGTCAGGACCAAGTACAAGGTGTTTTAAAAAGGTAAATCAAATAATGGGCTTAGTTTACCTTTCTCAGTAATAGAAAGTGAAAGTTCTGAACTTGCACGCATCTTTCCATTAATACCTTAGTTTTCATCTGCTGAATGGTTACACCTCTATGTTCCGACGGGGTCCGCTCATAAGTCCGACGCCTCATAGGTCTGATGCCTTATAAGTCCGAAATTTCGGACTTATGAGACGTCGGACTTATGAGGCATACAATTTATTTATTCCACCTCATGAGTCCGACACCGCAAAAGTCGGACGCCTCATAGCTCCGACGCCTCATCAGTCCGAAATAGCGTTTGTCCATTGTCGAACTGATGAGGCGTCGGACTTATGAGGCGTCGGACCTATGATACGGCCCCGTTCCGACACCCCTAACTTCCGACTGCACATAGTCCTATTCCTAACCCTAACCCTAACCCTATCCCTAACTCTAACCCTAACTGAGGGTTACACAATTCTATGTGCGGGTTGTCGGAACATAGGGGTGTCGGGACATAGGGGTATCGGAACATAGCAGTCACACAGCAGTCACCTGCTGAATTGCCCTTGAAGATGGAACCGTGAGACCCAAATAAATGTTTTGCCATAGCCTGGCTATACTTGGCACGAGCCAAACTATAGTTGGGAAGTATGGTAACCACTCTGAGATATTTCCAAGCTTATCCAGTTGTGTTGTGGCCGAACGTCTTGTCTATCATTAATGTGTGAGGGCAGAAAATCATCTCTGTATCCACTATTAACGTACGGGCCATCAGATGTTGGCTGATGCATATAGCGATTTGTCAGACCATTCATTGGGTACATAGTCTTGTTGTGTGAGCGCTGAGACACAGTGACAATGCCTCTGTCCTGGAAGTCATGACAATCTCGTTGGTTCTCGTTCTCGTTGTTCTCGTTCTCGTTGCGAATTTTCACGGGAATTGCCAGCATGAGGCCGACAGGGATAAAAAGAAGGCCGTGTAGCGCCCCAAGGGAGATCACGAGAAACATGGTCTTGGAGAAAGTCCGGAAGATGTGAGAGTCCGACACATAAAGGATTACCAGGCCGAGTATGGTGGAGAGAGCTCCTTGAACGATCGGCATCCCAAGGGAGTAGACGGCATGTATGACGCTGTCACGACGGGAGTTTGTTTTGGTCGATGTGTACGCATAACATATGTGGGCTGAAAAGTCCACACTGAAACCAATACAGATGATGAGGTTGGTCATGGCGATGGAGTCCAGGTTGACTTGCCAGAGAGTCATGAGTCCAATCACCCCTGTGACGATTGAGACAATGGACAGAGTGACAAGGATGGCGCATACTGGATGAGGTATCATCAACAGAGACACGATGAACATGGCTCCCGTGGCGATGCCCATATTCTGGAACGTATTAGATAAGATCACCAGGTACTGATCATAGAAAATGAAAAGCGGATGGTACACAATGGCTGGGAGATCAGCTTCCTCTGCGATGCGCCGCAAGTCTGTCATCATGTATCTCTTCCTGTCCTCTGAGTCCAGGTTCTTGGAAGTAACAAAGAATCGCGACGCCACAATGGTCCGGTTGTCATCACTGAAGGTGATGTCAATCATATACCTCCGGAACGCTGGGATCTCTAGAAAGGTGTTGAGCAGAATATCCATGAACTGAGCCTGGGTGGGATTTCTGAAGTGGATTGCGTCCAGGAAGTCAAGAAAGTCCCTCAGCCAGGACACGGTCAGATTGTGATCCGTATCGTACGTGTACTCACTCTCTTCCATCTTTATAAGTGTCTCCTCCATGAGGTCCTGTATTAGCGGATTCCACACGTCTCTGGGCTCTGTGAATACCAGTGCCACAGGTGGACCGTACTCACTAAACAGAGTTCTTTCAGCTTCCAAGTGGGCGGCCACGAAGGAGTTATCCCTGGCAAGGTTACGGAGCTCCAGACCTTCGCGAACCATGGTGCATCCGTAGATTGCGGTGCCCAGGTAGCCCAGAAACAGTAATATTGTCGGAATCACCACCCACCAACGCGTGATAAACGGACCGTAGTAATTCTTGAAGAAAAGCATGAGGGCGTGGTCGTTAGTGTCACCACCCTCCACGTTAGTGGGTTGCTGGGTCGAACCACCAGCGCAGAATATGTTGTAGGCTGTGGGCGTAGACTCACTCTTAGGTCGGACTTTGAGGCAAGACATACAGTGTCGGTTAGCTGCCTCGCGACGACCAGTCAGCACCATACAGGCGCCGAAGAAAGTGATCTGATAGGCGTAGTCAAAGATGACGGCCACACCCGTGTACATACAGAATATACGGACGGATCTGAAGGACGAAATAGCGCCAATTCCCAAGGCTAGAGAGTCTGTAATGGACGTGATGGTAATAGACATGGCGGCTTCAGAGAAGGCATGGCGCATGCGTTGTTCCACTGACCATGTGACGTCAGTCTGTCGCCAAGCAGCCAACATGATGAACATATCATCAACTCCAATACCTTGTAAGAAGATGATCACAATATATATAAACAAAATTGTATGTTCGTAAAGCTGGTATTTACTTGCTTTTTAGAAATATATTTTCCGAAACGACTTTTAAAAGAATATAATGTCCTGTAACAAATAAATTTGCCTGCTTGCATTCGCAGGCCTTTATACAGTTTTAAAAGTGGCTTTAAATGGCGCGCTTTAGTTCAGCAAGTTGTTAGCGAAATGATATCAATATTCACGTCTAGTGATGCTCCTAGTTCGAATATTGAAATTTGTTAATTGGTTACCAGTCGTGGGCCGATTTTTTCGTTCGATCTCTCATTGGAAAGACGTTAGAATTCATTTCACATCGTCGGACCCAACGTCCGAGCACATACCAGGTTTGATCATCATCTCATGAACCGTTTTGAAGAAACTTTAATTTTGACCTTCCGGTAACTTCAGCAGAGAAGGTCGAGCGACTTCACGTACACAACGAAACAAAATATTTATCAATTAATCTTTCTGATTACAAAATTATAAACATCATTGATCTTTTGTTTTAGAATTACAAGTGACAGAAGATGGTCACTTTTTCCACTGAAATCGCTTGTAATTAAATACCTGATGCCGTCATCACGACGTCAGAGTAATATGTACCCCTTTGGATCAGGGATGGTGGTTCAGAGTTAGACGTTTATATCATAAACCGTTGAGAAGAAAGGTCGCGGAGAATTAGTGTCCAGAAACGAAAGAAAGAAGGAAAGAAGATAAATCTCGACCATTGTAAAACGATGATCGGGCTGAGCCCAATCACATATTACTAATTTTAACCATTTTAAAAGGGTGAGCGGGTCATACTCGATCACCCAATAACTTACCGACTATGAGAAAAGGTGAAGATCCAACAACGTTAATGTAGGGTACACCAATATAGCTCATGAGACCGAATGCGGACAACACAGCCAGCCCTGCAGACAGGACACCACAGCTCGCCAACCAAGGCTTGCTACGCACCCAGTCTAGCATCACACACGAGCACACGCTGAACGTGATCAATATGGTGAATGTCACTGTGAAATCCTTGATGACTCCAGAGCTAGCGTCGTCTAGTTCGGTCTCGATGGAACTCGACACCTCGCGAGTTACTGTGATGACTGATGATGTAAAAGCTTCAGCCACTTCAAGAAACTTTTCCTCCCATAAGGCGCTCCGCTGGTCCTCCACGCTGTCTTCGTATCGTAAGAAGTAGGACAACTGAATAGCCTCAGCCGAGAGGACCTCATCTTGAGAGCCTGTTACAAAAGTCACTCCGCCTAGTCCTCCACCGAGAAAATAAGTTACAGTGTTATCGGCTGGTGATGTATAGAGGGGAAATGTCAGGGTGGTCGACGGAACCTTAGACGAGTTGTAATCATAGGCAGCCAGAATGGGGTTCTCGTTACAAACACCGTCCAATTTCACGCAGAGATCAGTGAATCTGTACTCCTGGTTGGCCAGGGTAATGCGGATGTTCATGATCTGTTCGTGTAAATCTAAAATGTCATCAATGGCCGCCTGGGTCAGGATGTTCTGTCCATCTTTGTGGCGTATGATCACGCTGCCCTCTCGACTAATATTCGACAGATGTGACACCAACGTGTCATTGTCACCGTGTTCGCCAAACAGTGTGTCCACCGTGTTTCTGTCCGTCTTGGCCTGTCCATTGTCAGGAGTGTACAGATTCTCCAAACTATTCTCGGTCGTCAGAAACACCATCCCAGCCCCCAGTGCCCCGGCCAGCAGTGGCGGCACCAGCAGAAAGGGGATCGGGTGCCTCGCGATGAAACCACCGTAGTTGAAGAAGAACAACTTGATGACTTTCTCGATGCAATCAAACGCCATCTTTTAGGCAGTATAGCAAAGGTGAAAAGTGTATTTTCTCCAAATGTTCCGGGTCAAAGTTCAAGTTTGTTGTCTCTTACAATCTTCTTTTCAGAAGCTCAGTCCGTAACCTGCAAAGTGAGGCGAATTGAAGAAGTCAGTTTAATAGCACATCAACAGCAAGTTTCGCTATTATCTGTTGTGTATAATAGATATGTATTACACAATCTGCATGTGTGACGTTTTCCCATAATAGGTGATCGATCAATGTTAGTTCCATTGGGATTCCACACGTTCAAAAGCTTGAAAAGCTTGAAATCGTCTTGAAATTTTCTCCATTAATGTAAGACATTATGTGGGTTTCCTGTGGCTCAAACCTATGAAATATGAATACATAACTCAAAAACAGTACATTCCTTTCGATCTCGAGAAGAATGTTGCCTGTATACGTTAAATTATGACAAACAGAGCCAAACTCACATTGTACCTGTAGCGCTACTTAAGTATTAAGTATTATGTTAATTTTGCACGTTCTTTTTTTCTCATTCTTGTATTTTCTGTGTCATGTTTAAATTACTCCCGTTCATGTGAGTAAGATGAGGCTCTTTGCGTCGGAAGTGGACATCGCTAATTTGTGATGTTTATCTGTAAACCCCCCCCCCCAAAAAAAAAAAAACAGAAGGATTGCACCAAGCTTACGCCACGGTGCATGCTCTGCACTGTTTGTTGTGGGATTACTGTCAAATGCTCGGCATTCAAAATGAATGATCTGCAACTGAAAATTCTACAGCTTATTCATACAGTATACTAAGCAAATGGGTCTTTCTGAAAACGCACCGTCTACTTGTGTACATTTACTGCTATACTCGTAGCTGGCATGTAAACCAATATACATGGGACTTTAACGACAACTTTTCTGCTTATTAAAATGTGCGCTCTCAACAGCTTCAGCGGTATCTTGAAAAAGAGAGGTAATATTCAACGGGTAGAGATATGCTTGTTTCCAAACGGATACATATTGAACCACATCTCCAAAGAGGAAGTTGGATGAAGAAAGTCCCCCCCAAAAAAAAAGAAAAAAAAAGAAAAAAAGAAAAAGGGACGCACTGAATTGGAACAAAACCATCACAAACATAGTATTCGTTGTTTGCGAGGAATACGACCTGTACTAAAGAGATATTTCACGTGGACGGAATGAGATTTGTTGGCGTACATGGCCATTTCCAATTCGATACAAAAAAACCTATAACAAATCCATGGCCGTGGGTTAGGGGTTTCACCCCCCCCCTCTTGGGACGCCAAACAAATATGAAAATCGTGCAGAAAAACATAGTAAATGCCTTCCCGCCCACTTCTTGGCAGCTTAAGCCCCATTTTGATCCAAACCGAATACCACCTTATGATTGTCGTATAGTAAACAGATTTAGAATCTAACGATTTAACCCGATCCAGTGATTACATTTATTTTCCACTGAGGATGTCTGTCTGTTGAGCTCTGGAATATTTTCTTGACAAAGTTTGAATAATTTGCAGCCCGCCTAAAATTCTATTTGTGTGTTGTGGGCGCAAAGGCAACCTGAAATAAAAGCGTATTTTCAGAGGGTTGAAATAAATACAAACTGGCAGTCGTTAGGAGATATAAAAATCCTGGATATTACATGAAGAGTAACTGTAAAGCCAGTAAGATATCTCAACAAGGAAATAGCAGAAATTCCTGAAATTTACAGTTTGAGGTATGGCAGATGAATACATTTAGGATTTCTTTCTTACATTTCAAACCGTCATTTCCGCATGCATTTGGCATAAATTACGTCATGTATATGCTCATATCTACTAGTGCTTACTTACCGTGTTTGCTATGGTCTCCAGAGCTGAACATTTCTACATATCCCTTTCCTTCCTTCTCTCGCGGCACAATGAATATCGACGTCGTTCGTTCACCTGAAAATAACGCGCCAGCTGTATATCCAAGCCCTACTGACTAACAGAACACAAAGGCTCGCCATTATTATGTTCACTGTATGCGTCTTTGTACAGTAGCTATGGGCAATTATGATCATTATATTAAGTCATGTGATACATGTTCGTACACCAGCACTCCATGGGAACCTGTCTTCACAACCTCGTCCCCAGGGTGTCAAGCAGTACGCGCCCACCACTACCTGCTCTCGCACCCTGGTATTGGAACATTTGCATGTGCAAGCTTTTTGAACACATATGCAAATGAGGAATAGTCTGCGTGCCTGCCTGTGCGCTACATTTGCATTTGTTTTTGTATGCTGTGTCCGGGATAAAAATAGAATCAATTCGTCGCAGCGCGAGCATGGCACAAGTTACGAAAAAATCGATATTATTTTAATTAAACTGTTACGATCTTTACGAGACAACATGCAGTATCACATTTCATATTAATATGAACAAATTGAAAAGGAAATGAATATTTTAAAGAAGGCGTGGACGAATGATCGCGAAAACACGTACTGCACGTTGTGAATAACACATTGGTTCACAAAAATGGCGCTGGAATCAAAACTACTGGACCAAATTGGGAGTTCTTTGTATCCTTTTTCTTCTAACAAAATTTCCTATGCATATAAATCAAAAGTGTAGGTCTCTGAAAAGTCGAAGAATGAGGTTGCGTTTTTTTGGACCTCTCTGTATAAAGGCATCCTCACCGTAGTAGGGTCTTTATGTCAAAAAAAAATCTGGTGAGGCCTAGTTGCCATCTGAAAACAGTTCTGGAACCCTTAAGATGTTTATTTTGAGACGTTATATACATTTCCAAAAATATTTCTAGGAAAAACATATTTAGGGATATTTTTTGAAGAAAAATATCTTGAAAATCAATATGTAATCAATATAAAATCAGTACCGTAAACAATATTTATTTGAATTGCAACGAACCTTTGAGGGTCAGTTACGGTGAAAAGAAACACTATCCTACTCCCAGACCCCAATGCCTGGGCTAGTAGTGGCAGCATCAGCAGAAAGATGATCGGTTGTTGCCTGACCTTGTATGAAATATAGGTTTCCCTGCTATTTTCAAACAGTTTTCATTCAAATTCACCAACTCTAACATTCAATCTCGTCCGAGAAAAATCCACACATTTTTAACAAAACTGATTTAGTCATTTACCATTCAATTTCAAAGTTTGGTCACCCTCTTTAGTCACCGGGTCGAGAACATTCGTCATTACAGATCAAATTCGTCTAAGCTGTTGCCGAATGGCAGCATTCAGAGATCGAATTCGTCTTATATAAATCATATAGACGAAATTGATTTCTGAATAGCAAGGTTCGGCGCAGACGAGACAAAGTCGAATACTCCGGGAAGAAAACGTGTGCTCATTGTTTTAATTTGCTTGAACTGAATTTGAAATTGTCTGACAAAAGAAAACAGATCTCGAGATGAATATCATCGCTAACGTTAAACGTTATTGACACCTTTTCAAAAACAAAACTGACAAAATATCATGACATGTAATAGTATCTTGTAGGCCTATCAATAGTATCAATAACATCATACATCCTGTGAAATCTTGATCTTAAGATAAGATAAGATAAGATTGAACTTTATTATCCCTCAGGAGGGAAATTAAAATGGCCTTGACAAAGAACGGGTTATAAAAACATACAATCATTAATTAAAAAGATGTAAAAATGCAATGTAGTTACCACAAACTTATAAATCAAGACATTAAATGTAAAAAACTAACTACTACATATAATTCACATATTTCATTACATTAATGAGGGATCAGTGTCAGCCACACGATAGTTCCTCGTTCCAGTTGCTCATTGTACCATTTGATAGCTGCTGGAACGAATGAACTGCCGTATCGCCGTGTCCTGATCCTTCGTTGTAAAAAGCGAGTTCGTTTGGAAGTCAGCATGCCTACCAAAAAAAATATGTCCAAAAGATGGACGCTTGCAGTTTCTAAAACTAGACAACGAAGGGTCCAACATTTTTATCAACTTCGTAGGACTTAAATACACTTTTTTAAAACCGACAAATTTAACGTAGTATTATACACTAAATTAGTCGACATTTAATATTCTGCATCTGTTATCATTCTGGTATAATATACATGTATTTACATTAAAAAGATTAACGAAACAGGGCCAAATTTCATGGCTCTGACTAACGTTAGCGAAAAATGTCTGCTTACTGTAGCAGAAAAAAAAATCCGTGCTATACGGTAAGCGTATTTCACTGGTCAGTGAGGGATTTTGGCTTCTGCGCACGCGTACATACATAACTAAGGATTCTGTGCTTACAGGGTTAGCGCATAACTTGTTTCTGCTGGCGCTTTTCGCACAAAATGGTGATCATAAGCGCATAATTATTTGGTTAGCAGAATCATGAAATTGGGCTTGATCTCAGTAACGGAAATTCCGCCTGTGGGAATTTTTTTTAGTACCATTGCAGCTAGGGCAAACTGTCCCATAATGGACAACAATATATAGATTACCTTGTTGGACAGTTCGCGTGAAGAGCTTTGCTGTAAACTTAAATAAAAAACAGGGCTCAGGCCAACAAAGTATCCGGTTTCTGGTCAGTGCGCGCATTGCCGTAGCCATGTGCGTCGGCAAAATATGTGTTTGTTTTTTTCAATGTAAGATGATGTCTCTAAACCGCCAAACTCACTGGTTTGACTGGAATCCTGCTGCTGCACAGTGTGGAGACTCTTCACATAATGACCCCCTCTTCAGTCTTCGCATATTGTATGGTTGAGTCACTGACTGATGCGGTGCACACGGGGAACCAAATCCCGGCTTCGGCGCTCTGAAGCACGGCGCCAACCATGGGTGTCGATCGGTGGGGAACGGGGGAAATGTCGTTCCTCAACGATGTTCGTCCCTGAATAAGGAAAATGAAGCCTAAATTTGATTCTATAGCTCAGAACAGCTATTTAATGACTCCAATTCGGAAAAAAAAGACTTTTAAAGGATGATCTTGTGCTGAAACTTTGGCAATCGTCAGAAATTGCCTCAGATAGCATCACAGGGCGCCTAGATTCCATTTTTTCAGGGGCCCTTAAGCGGGCCCCGAACCTCAAGCCGTTTTTA